TCTTTTTGCCGGTGGCTCGTCGTCGCCTCTGCTGCTGCTGGTTCTAACCTCGAGATGAGCGTAATCGGACAGCCAGACGTCGGCAACCATCTCTTTTGCCTTTTCAACCCAACTAGGCTTATGAGCCCACGTTTCATCAAACCAGTCCCAACGATAAGCTGGATGGAGCGCCATAGCCGTATAGTAGATGGGCGTCTCGTCCAACCGCTGATAATATTCATCCAGCTTATCCCAAGCAAGGTTGATTCCGATGCGGAAGTGCTCTGGATCAGGAAAGTCAGCAGCAAGCTGCTTATATTCTTCCAGTGTGTTAAGCAGCAATTCATAGCCAAGCACTACGTCCCAGATATTGCCGTAGGAGCCGGTCCAGCCTTGCTTACGCCTGCGGATGTGTCCATCACCCTCAAGCGTCTTTACCACGGTCTCAAAAACAGTCAGAATAGCCTCCAAATGGTAAAGAACCTCCCAGTCTTTGTCTGTTAGCTGATTCTCGTCTCGGAGGATGCGTGGTTTTTTCGCCAACTTGGCTTGTGTTACTTGGCCAGTCTTTTTAGACCGATTTTCGTCCTCCCATTGCGCCTTATACTTGATCAGTAGGAGTTCGATAGAGGTTTTCAACCGTAGAGCCCTGCGGATCATGTAGAGTTATGACAGCCAACGCGTGTCGTTATCGATAATTAGCTTGAGTGGTTTCTTCGATCGGAGTTTAAGGGTGGCGGCGCGATTAATTTCGTCCTGTTAGATACACCAAATTAGTATGAGACGAATAGGATTTAGTAAGACCGCTTACCTTCTGGACCTCCTTGAATAGGTAAATTAGCCGATGGCTAATACGCACATCAACTACGATATTGTGTAACTTGCCAACTGGTCCTTTTTTGCGCCATTGAGCGTATTCAGTATCAGACAACGCTTCTGCACCTGATAATTGCTGCTCGAATGCGTTAGCGTTTTTGCCAAACAAGAGCGCCTTGGCTGACAAGTTAATTGTGTGGCCAATACAGCGTCCTCGGCGTAGTCGGCCATCGAACCCAAGTTCAGCACCAATGACCTCCATTGCAGTATCGTTGTTTTCAGCATTGTCGAGCGTGAAATAGCCAATCTTCTCTGGACTCACGCCAAGAGTGTGTAGGACGTCGAGAACCTCCCCACCGATCGTTGAGCCGAAGTGACGATGAGCCTCCGGAACCCCAATCATGATTTTGCATGGCCGATTCTTCTCATCTCTGAAGAAACAAGCAATACCGTACAGGGCAAGCTTATTTCAAGACATCCAGCCATCAAATGAGATATGAAGCGCTCCAGGGGAGTTCCTCAGCACCTCGATAACCGTCTGCTTGTGGCGGTTATACTCTTGAATGATCTTATATCGGACAGCCCTGGCACTCAAGTTGGCGTGTTGGATCGAAACGGAGGGACTCAAATAGTCGAAAATTTCTCGGAGGATGGGGTTCTCGGCGAAGGAAAATGACTGGTTGCTACTGACGATTAACTCGACTAGCAGACGCTGAAAGTGTGGCTTATCAAAGCGTGAGATGAAGCTATTCGCGATATTCTGTTCCATAGGCTTGTTGACGTCCAGTTTCAAAACAGAGGCAATAGTCGGCTGGCTCGATTTCAGTGCGCCTTCGGATTTGAGCTGTGCTGTGCTCTTTTTCTCTCCCTCTGGTGCTGGTGTTTTGTGCTCACGCCATAGATGATTTGCCGCGTTCTGGAGACCTGAAGAGGTAAAAGTCGCGATAATGGGACGATTTCCGAGGATACAGTCCTTGCAAGCCCATTTGCGTAAGCCATGGCGTTGAATATCATAGCCAAAGTCCCACAGCCAAGAGCTAGTATCACGAGCGCGTTCTGACCAATTCCAGCCTCTGAAATGGCGAAAAAGACGGTCTTCGAGCTGCTGCTGTTGGCCTGGTTGGCCTGGTTTGGCTGACATCGTCAAAATTTTTTTAAATTTTTAAATTTTTTTGGCAAAAACAAAGCAGGAAACCTGTAGAAAACGTGCTCAATAGGGGTAGTTTCTCGTATAATGGATTAGCTGTAGGGGTGATCGACCTCGGCTAACTTGGGTCCAGGTACCTCGATTTAATAGGCAATTATATACAAAAATAAGTACTATGAACCGTACAGGGTCAGGGAATATCCCACTGTACCCAAATCCACCTAAATCCACTCCATTACATCCACTTTCAGGTCCAAGTGTAGTGGATTACTAAGTAATCTGAGCGCCGACAAGTGGATGTAATAGAGATGGGCCACTTATATGTGGTCCACGTGGATTTGCAGTGTAGTGGGTCCGAGCCTTGACGAGCCCCCGTATGCCTTACAAAAGCAGTTCTGGCCGTGGATCGAGGAGTGGGAGCCTCGCTTTGAGGCCCGCGCGCGCCGGCAATGCTGGGCAGAAGGCGGCCTCGACGATGACGACCTAGCCGCCGACGGCTTCCTTAAGCTTATGCGGCGCCTGCGCATTGTACTGTTACAGGACCTGGCTGTATTGCAGCCTCGCCACCCGTCGCTACCCTTCTTCGCCTACGCCCCTTTTAACGGGCCCGAATGGGATGAGTTCGCCGTCGCCGTTCGCTCCGACGCGATAAGGGCTACGGAGCCGTTAAGCCTGCTCGTACAACGCGCGCTGCCAGAGCTAAGCGGTGTGTTAGAGAGCACGCGCGAGGCCGTCTTACAGAATAGCCAGCGGCTGGCTATCCGGCAAGAGGCCCGGCTAGAAGGAATTCAGGGCGGCTTCGATGCCCTCCTCCAGGGCAAGGTCCCTATCACCTTTACCGGCCACTTTGGGCCCGGGCCAGCAGTGTCGCTGGCGCCATCGATAGCTCCTACCTTGAACTTTAATACGGCTCCGGCTCCGGCTCCAGCTCTAGCGCCAGAGCCTCTAGCACCAGATATGCCTGTCGTTACAGCCCTGGCTAAGGTTTTCACAGTGCGGGACGTCTGGAAGGAGTGGGAGGAAGGGATTGCGGGTCAGCCGGCTGTACGGGTGCTGGAAGAGATGTGGGGAAGCCGCTGGCGCCCAGGGAATAGGGTCAGGGTGCAGTTCTGTCGCCGGAAGGTGATCTGGGACGAGCTCTTGGCCCGTACGGCGTCCGGTAAGAATGAGGAAGAGGCTGTTGCAGAGCTAGAGCTCTTACGCGCTGGTCGGAGCTTGAACTGGCTTGTCGACGAGCTCAAACAGCGCCGCCGGCGAGGCCAGGGCCAGATACGGGTACAGGTAGGGACCCCGTGCCCGATAGTGCAGGCCCGGGGCCGGGACCAAGGCCGATTCGGAGCCAGGGCCATGGCCATCGGGGGCGCCGGACTCGGCTAGGGAGGAGGCGGACCGCCCCTCATCGACAGTAAGCCGGCCGTCAAGTAGGATCTTTATATATTTATATGACGATAACTATCCTGTACGTATCTATCTACCTAGAGGACGTATTTTTAAAGATTAAAGAGCCACAGCATCAGTGCATTGCTATCTCGTAGTCCTTGCAGCAAAGCCTAGCCCCCCCCCCCCCTTCCCCCAATCTTCCCCCAATTCCTTCCAGGCGCTGCACACGCAAATATCTCGGCGCCCGGTAGCCTATATGGCGCTGCTCTTGAACCAAACGCACCGCCGGATCGTAGCAGTCTCCCAGACCCGAAATGGCCTCGATTAGGCTACAAAACATCGAGTTATTCGCCTGCGCGGCGCCGGGCACTTATCAGATGGTAGTTGTGTAATCACATACGATTTCCCGAAATTACTCCGCAAAACGACCCCACGATAAGTTCTGCTTATCAAACACGTTATAGGTATTAATAAACTCTTAGCTCTGAGCTATTCACCTAGTTCTATTATTATCTAGAGGATGCCGTAGCAGAGCTTAGTTAAGAACCTTCCCTTAAAGTCTTTGGCCAAAGAAGCCATAGACGAGACGCCCTTGACTGGGTTTTGCTCTCGGCTAGCCGAGACGCCATTAGATGAACCGTTTGCTGTTGCCATGTTATGTAAGACATATTGTCGATGGTGTATGTGGCTCGCGACAACTCTGATCTGCTACAGGCTGTTAATGTTTTATACGTAATGATGATACCTGGATCCGCAGGTTTGAATGGGGAGTATCTTTGTCGAGTGGCGATGGCTGTGGAGATGTCTAATGATGGGCATGGGGTCTTGGGGTAAAAACTCCAGCGCGGTCGGTTACGTAAAGTGCTCAAGGTTAAGTAAAGTTCTCAGTCTCACCAGCAGATACTTGCGGAACCGGCAAAGACAGCCGAAAGATCAAAGGCGACCAACAGTCCAAAGATAGAAGCTTTCCGACAGTAGGTGTTGTAATTATATTTTACAGAACTCCAAAACTCACCACAAACAGACGCGATACAGAAGCAGCTAGGCTATACAGCAAGCGTCATGACGGCTGCGCGGCAGAAATTCATATACATGATAAAGAGGGCTTCAGAGAGACTTGTATTGATATGCCTAGAAGATAGGAAAATAGATCGAGCTTCTAGACATACAGAGTAAGATTTTTTTCCTACCCCAACAACAGACGATGCGATTACTCGATTCTATATAAATATTTGCAGACCCATTTCGCTGGAATTCCTCACACTGTTGTCAAACTATGCGCTACACAAGGCAGCCAGATTAGGGTTATAAAAGTAAGTAACAACGAGGATTATTTATTTCTCTAGGAAGGGGCACTTGCTAAGAGTTAGTATTACATAGCCTATACGGATAGAGGCTGCTAGGATGGATAGGGCTCTATCTAGCGCAAACTTCCGTCTGTAAAGTTTATTGATGGCATGCTGAAGTTCACGCCTTGATTCGATTCTACTCTATTGCTCTATTGCTCTATTCTTTCTTTGGCATATTCTCCCGGGCGGAATAAATCCACTTATTTGTCAGCTCCCCGCACGCATATCTGGCTTATATAGCGGATCTTATTTGCACCGCCAGCTGTGCAAGTATGAGTGGTAACTGCCATGCCCTTTGGGCCTCAAGACCCTAACAACAGGAATTCTCTTCAAATGTCGGGATGCATTTTGAGGAACTCAACCAACGATGTGGTCTTGACCTCAAGGATGTCATTATCGAGCTTGGGGAAGACCCAGGTACCATCAATGGCGTATAGTTGATAGAACCAACCAATGTACAAACGATAGTCAGTTTTCCTTCCCTCCTTCCTAGCCTTTAACGCTTTCTCCCTGAGGTCGTCAATGGTACCTAGCTTATTGAGCTTGACTTGAACGTCTCGCTCCTGCTCATACACCTTGGCTATCTCGAGGAGGGAGTTTGCCCCAGAACAGACGTTCCAACATCCACCCTGGGCGGCGTCGTTCCGTTGAATGATTTCGGCTGTAAACTCCGCAGAGTCCTGCTCGGTTGTCCAGTACCATACTGAGTGGCCAGTTCCCCAGATGTTCATAGTCTTGGTGCTTGAGTCCCAGACCAGGGGCATGTCTGGACCAACATGGCCGTGTCCAATCGTAGAAAATAATGTTTCGGCGAATATACTATTGAAAACATATATTGGCTTGATGTCGGAAGTCATTTCGACATGATGGCGGAAGCTGACAAGTGCATCATAAGCCTCATGTTTGCCAAGTTCCAGCTTGCTCCAATCGTGGTTCCAGCATGCGGTAACGTATATGCAAACATTGGCCCGCTCGGCTGCGCGCAGGAGCAAGAGTTGCCCTTCCAGTTGAAGGCGCGGATCCATACCGTACGCGCAAATGATGCCGTCTACCCCAGCGCAGGCGCGATCCAATGCGGCAGAATCGTAGTAGACTTCACAAGTGACGAAGTCGTCCAATAAGGCGTAGGTGTGGGGGACTAGCTTAGAAGCATCCCGTCCGAGACCCCGGACACGGTGTCCTCGGGAAGTAAGAGAATGAACCAGTTTCTGGCCCATGTTTCCGGAGACTCCAGCGACAAGTATAAGCATGATGGTGGATGGGTGCAAGAGTGGAGGTTCTTGGTAAGGTGACTTTGAGGTTTGAGGGAATGAAAATTTAATCCAAGAGAATGGCTATTTGCATTCTTTATATAGATATGCGCATAGATGTTTTCATGCCTTTTTCTTTTTCTTTTTTTTTTTCTTTTTGTGGATATGGATAATTTTCGGAGCTTCTCCTATGATCCATGCTTTCGGATATTTTCGCAAATATATCTTCCGTCCACGCCAGGTGGTTAGCAGGGCATGGTGGACCACGATACTACGTTGGTCGGGCTTGTAATGGTGTACGACTTGAACGTTTGATTCACTTATTTTGGGGCCAATTTTACTAACAGGGAATGTAATGGTGTACGACAAGGAGCACCTATGAGTCATTCAATTTCGAAGCACGAAGCAATGAGCCACGAGTCGCTCTTCGAAATATCCTGCATTCCCCTTGCCCTGGCGATTGAGCTATTTGCACATATGTTGACATAGACGGATTTGGGAGGAGGGCAGAGTGATAACCTTCAGCAAGATGTTCCTACAATGTCTCGCCAACAGGATCGCCATGGGAAGTGACTTTGTGATTATCTCTGAAAAGACTGGCGTCGCTTGGGTTTCCGTAAGTTCCCGAGTAATTGCAACTTCTATCCTTCGTCTTCCTCGTTTGCTACGTACTGACGCATATTTTCACACTTGATAATCGGGGCTCGGCACATCTCGTTTGCGAAATTAGTACTATTATGGGCCATTCAGGTCTATAGCACTAAAACAGAACCAGGTAAATGACATATCGGTGAAGACGCAGTTGCCTGTTGTGGAATACAGGACTGGATTACGTCGGCTAACTTGAATAGGTAGGCAATATGAAAAGAAAGTTGAAGTCACGGACGAGTACTTAAGAAGCCGATTTCAGTCTTCCTTCCTTCGCCCCCTTTCACTCAACATAGAAGTCAAATCTCAGTCAGCCATCATGCTCATTATTACTGTCATTACAATCACCTTAGCCATTTGGGGTTTCCCTGCATCGCACGCCCATACCCTGAACAGACCTGCCTCCTCACCGCCGACGGCTAGCATAATCAACGGCATTATTTTGGGAACCACGACTCGAGTGCCAACCGCTCCAACCCCCGTGGTTAATCAGTACCTCGGTGTTCCTTTTGCAAAGTCTCCACCAGAACGGTTCTTACCCCCCGAGGATCCTGAGCCATGGACCTCCATTTGGAATGCTACCTATTACCGTCCTTCATGTATCCAGCACTTTGCGAGTATGGACGGCCTGTCCTGGAATCCCTAAATATCCGGCACACTAACCTTTCGGCTAGATGATGTCTTCAGAAAGATTTTCAACAGCGACCAACCTCCTGAGAGTGAGGACTGCCTCCACCTCAACATTTTTACTCCTTCAACTGCAACCGAATGCGGAAGACCAGTGATGGTCTGGATACATGGAGGAAGCTTCCAGTTAGGGTCTGCTCGTCTCTCTGAATATGATGGCTCATTCTTGGCCGCCAAACACGGCGTCGTCGTCGTTACAATGAACTACCGAACAAATGGTGCGAGAAACTTCTCAAAAACATCCCTAGGCATAGACTTGAATCTGACTTGAGGCAGTGTTCGGCTTTCCTGCCTCGCCCGAAATCCCTCTCCATCAGCGCAATCTCGGATTTATGGACCAACGCAAAGCATTGGCATGGGTCAGCCGGAACATTGGAGCTTTCGGTGGAGATCCATCCAAAGTGACCATATTTGGCGAATCCGTAGGTGGGTATTCCGTGAAGCAGCTGCTAATCAACCCTCCACGGCCCTTGCCGTTCCGGGCTGCCATTATTCAGAGCCAGGCATTTGGACCTGCTGGTGGCGGAGAGGCGTCGTGGGCGACTTTGGTAAAAGAGCTAGAATGCAACGCCACTACGGCAGCACAGCAACTCGCCTGCGTCTTGGATGCGCCCGCTGAAGCCATCAGAAACATCCTAGACTATCGAGGGCTTAGCTTTACTCCGGTCGTTGACAACATCACCAACGGTCCTTTCCTCAACGATGCTTTCTATCAGGGGTCGATAGCGGAAGTGCCTATCCTCATTGGGACGAACGCAGACGAAGGCACAGTGTTGACGTCGGTAATGCCGCCCCCCGAGCAGATGCTTGGCGCTATTTTTGGCAACAACACTGCTTCCAAAGAGCTCGCGCGATTACATTATCCCTCGAATGCAACAGTGGCAGAGCTGCAATCACGTATTCTCACCGACTACTCGTATACTTGTACCACCTCCGCCATCGCTGAATTACTTGCTCATGGGTATCAGAACGTATGGCGGTATTTTTTCAATGCAACCTTTCCGAACAATGCGCCCTTTAAAGGGGCTGGAGCATGGCACACTTCGGAAATACCACTTGTTTTCGGTACCTATCGAATGGATAACGAAACCACGGCTGCGCAAGTCAGGCTCAGCGATTCTATGCAGAGTGCTTGGGCGGGTTTTGCGAAGCATCCAGAAGATGGGCCTGGTTGGCCAATGGTTGGATCACAAGATAAGGACCTCCAGCTCTTCGATACGAATTATGCTGTTCGAGGTAGAACGATTGACAGGAACTTAGTAGACACCGCCTGCGCCTACTATGATGTCTCCGTTCAACTCAATGGCCTCTAGGCAAGGAAGCGAGTCGGACAAGAGGAAATGCTTTCCCCTTGATTGAGAATCAACATGATCATTAGCTTCAGGTGAGGTGAGGAAAATTTGACATACCATCCTTGTGTAGGATCTGTTGTAGTTGTATTACGTCCTTGCTGAGGTGGTCGCTGGTGATGGGCGAGCCGCGAAAAAATAACAATGGATTTTATCTCGCCGACAATGAGGTTCTATATGGTCAACTACACGCTAGCGAATGCAGTCAAAATTGAATTTGAGAAAGTTGTCCTCTTATTGTCTCAGTCGGAAGATATTGAGTGCTGAAGCGATTAACAAGATATTGCCCTAAGCTTGTGAGGTACCTTGTTATAATTTGTTGGAACGATCCAGGATCAGCTCACCGGGTTGCAGGCTGGCCCGCTGTACGAACTCCCTTGCCATGGAAAAGATATAAAACGCCGAGGACGTTACTCGCGTTCCGTGATCTAAAACAATAATGTCACAACAATGAGTGATCCACCTACAAAATACGTCCGGACGAGGATTTCAGGACGAGAGTTCCCGTTGGTCTGCAATACCAAAACGAATATGTGCCTGCTTTCTTCTGCTTTTGCTTCTAGTGTATACCTCGGCTTACAAGGAAGGCGAACGAGTGGTTCAGTGTATTTGGAAACAAGGCCTTCTTATCCAGCAACTGACCTGTGCTACACACTCTGGATTGCCCATAGGCTATCATTCTCTTTAGGAAACACTACTGCCCCGCCTTCCCTTTCCATCTAGCATGGATAGTAATGTTTAGCTGATGAAGTGTACGGGCCAACGGTAAAAGATCCCCATCCCTTTCTGCTATAGTACCCATGCTCTCGGCAACCTTCTCCAGTAACACCATGTCGCTCAACGAGGTAGAGCCCGGTTCTCCAGGGTCGCTAACGAACAGGTGATTAACCAAGCAGCCATAAGGAACATGACAGCGGAATGCGCCAAACAAATATGCCGCGGCAAGCGGGCTTGTATACTTTTCCAAGCCCAGAAGAGCGAGCTCCAGGACCTTACGAGCGATGTTGACTGACAAGACAGATACAGGTTTGTTGTAACAGGGAAAAGGTAAGCCAGATACTTCGGAATGGAGAGCCTCCATCTTGCGGCTCATGACCATCATGGAGCAGCTTGCCGTGAGCGTGAGATCGTAGAGCGTCCACCAATTTGAGACGTTTTCTTCGTTGGCGTCCATTGAATCTCTCTGTTGGTGATATACAACCAGTCAGTGGGGCTGAAACACTGGAATAGAATGGAAATGGAGCAGTATAGGAAGACTTACTACAGACCATTCTCCGATCAAGTCTTCTATCTCAGCACAGAGTCCTTCAATCCGTTCGATGCAGTCCTCATCGTCCGAGCTCTGAGCAAAGAAGTCAAAGAAGCGAAGCAGAAGAAAAGTCAGCCGTGACTTGACAAAGAACGCCAACGTTGAAACCATGTGATCGGGTTGTTCAGGGACGATGTTGATTGTGGGAAGATTGACACGCCACTCGGTCAAGTTGGCCGTCATGATGGCAGGCTTGTCGTGTAGCAGACGGAAGAATAGATCGACGAGCACCAACGCCCAGAGACCTTGCCTGTCATGGTCTGTTCCATCATCGGGTGACTGCCGCATGAAGGTACTGGGAAAATCCTGATCAATGTTGTGGAGGTTCAGCTTCTTTATGCACTGATACACAATTCTGTACATGTTCCAGCTGAATTCGAAGTCGCATTGCTGAAAGGAAGCTCTCATCTACCCCAGATGGTCAGTATACGGTGTGTGAGCTTTCTTGGTTTGAAGAGAACACGTACGAGAAGGATGGCAGAGATCAGGTCCGTCTTGGTCCCCAAACTGCGCTCCCTCCAAGCTGGCAGCACACGAAGACAGCAACCATAGACGCGTTGCGTTAAATTGCTATATTGAGGTCCCAAATCGTCAGCAATCAACACTGAGCCATGGTAGACAATACTATAGTAGAGTACCAGCACCGCTGGCTCGAGAGTGACCTCAGGCATATCGATGATGTCAGGGATGAGGTGCATCAGCTTGATATTGATGAAGCTCGGGAACGTGTCGATCTGGAAGTGCGTACAAAAGTCTGCAAATGAGATTAGTATTTGAAGAGCTTACGAACCGAATCTATTTAGTGCTTACTCTCAATACAAGCTTTGGCAATCTCTGGTTGTATATGGTAATCTATAGGTACGTTCTGGTTGAACAAGTTCTGCCGCTTGAGATGCAAGACCTGCTCAAAGGCTTGTTGGAGGCGCACGTCGGCATTCAAGGGCGTGGCTGGACAACTAGGCAAATCACTGACTTCTGTCTCTTCTGCGTCATTGTCGATGGAAGCTCTGGATGCAGCCGATGAGACCACGAAATGTGCTTCAGGTGTTTGCCCAGGTGTTTGGGAATAAGATCCTTGAAGGCTTCCTGGGCTATTGTTGCTGAGCGCGGTATTTACCGTCGATGGATCAGCAACAAGGCGCGTGCATTTTTCCTCAACCCGAAGTAGTCTCTCAAGAAGACTAGAGAGGACATGATCACTGACATGACTGAGAAATGTTAGTGGTAGGCAAAGAAAATAATGTGTTGACATGCGGTTCTTTTGGCTGACGCTTTCGGGAGTTAGCCTTCTTTCTTTTCCTTCGCTCCGGATACGTGCATGCCAGGCCTCTAGCTTGACAGCCGTCACATGTAGGTTTGGCACGGTTACATCGGATCTGGTTCGGTAGTTAGCAGATTGTCGAATTCAGATGCGGCGTTGTGGTGTGGAGGCCATCACGGTAAGTAGGTGGAGCATGGGGGACTGTGGTACCTTTCGAGTCCTGCAAGCGATGCACTATTTGGGAAATGTGTTAACGCGTCAGATCTGACAGTCCAGGGTGGAGGAGCAGAGGCTTGGCTCTGATACCTACCACTAGATCATGTTGGCCGCGGTGTGGCGGCACAGCACGATACATTGTTGATGGGAAAACGCGGAGATGTCAGGACCGACGTTTGAGAGCGGTTAAAGCTGCTGTGTTCTGATCTACGGTCTTTCGGGGAAACGCCAAGGTTATGGATAAATATGTGTAATCCAGCGCAGTGGGTGCCTAATTCTCTTTTTGAAGACAAGGCTTTTATGACACCGTTTCAGGGTTTGTATCGCTTGGAATGTGAGTCCGTTCTCAATCTCCGAGGCCTAATCACGGCATTTGGGTTCGGGGGGGGGGGGGGGCGGTAAGCCTGCGAAGCAGGCCGTAGAAGGTCTTTTTTTGTTTCTGAATTCACGGTCTGATTATCTCTTACGTCGAATTGGACCAATCGGCCTAGGGAAAGTTGCGAAGCCTTCTCAGCTTGGACCTTTGGACCCTCCATGGGCGCGGAAAAGTCGAGCAGTCCGTTTGTCCGGTGGCGGTGCACGGATAGAGGAGTGGATCAGATCTCATGGTTCTCGCCACTTTTGGCGCGTCCTGTGGCCGGGGGCAGAGAGCATTGACTGTTTGAGAATAGATGGAGATTAGAAAACTTCAATTTCGCTCCACGTTGAACCTACGGCCGCGGAGCTCCAGCCTGTACACCATCACAGCCGGCCGCACCATCGCAAAACTTGAGGCCGAATGTCCGTCCCACAGCTTTTCGGGGGTCTGTCTTACACGGCGCCGAAGGGTCCAGAGATCAGATGTTGCTTCACGGGAGAGCCCCTTCCACGGACTTTTGTTGTTATTAAATAGGATGTCTGTCGTTCAATTCACCAGAAATAATGATCCATGTTCTCACTGACTGATTTTGAGTGATTAGCTGTGATTTGAACCGATCTATCCACTCCTTCTCTTCCAGTTTTCCTCTTTCAGGCCTATTTCCGTCCAGTTCTTTCAACCTTCATCTTCAGTTCGAGGCATCCAGGGCATACAATGTCTTCCGACGAGGGCCACGGCAAAGAGCCCGAAAAGCCAGTCCTCTCGACGGACAAGGCGATATCCTCCCAAGGCTCATACAACACCCTGATTCCCGAGGCCGGCACCACGCCCGACAAGGGAGAAGGGCAGGTGCACGATGAACTCCTTGACCTCGCCAGGCGGTTGACGACTCACTCCCAGGGCGGCGGTGCAGCGTCCCTTTTCCCCCTCGCCGGAGACGGACCACTGGACCCCACCAACCCCAAGTTCAACGCCAAGGCGTGGGCCAAGGCCTTCTACAAGGTCCGCAAGGAGTCCCTCGAGGGCAACCCGCCCAAGACGACGGGCATCGCCTTCAAGAACCTCAACGTGTACGGTTTCGGCTCCGACACCGACTTCCAGAAGAGCGTGGCCAACGTTTTCTTTGAGGCAGGCCGGTTGGCTAAGAAGTGGTTGTTCAACAAGAAGGACGAGCGTGTCGATATCCTCTACGATCTCGAGGGTGTCGTACACAGTGGAGAGATGCTCTGCGTGCTGGGTCCCCCAGGCTCCGGCTGTACGACGTTCCTAAAGACAGTCGCCGGAGACACCCACGGCTTTCATGTCCACGAATCGTCCACGCTCAATTACCAAGGCATCCATCCCGATCAGATTCGAAGTGCGTTCCGAGGCGAAGCTATCTACACCGCCGAAGTCGACCACCATTTTCCGCAGCTTACCGTCGGCGACACCCTTTACTTCGCGGCTGCGGCGCGATGCCCTAAGAATATCCCCGCTGGGGTCAGCCGAAAGGAGTATGTAGAGCATCTCCGCGATGTAACGATGGCCATGTTTGGTATCTCGCATACCAAGAATAGCCGTGTTGGCGATGACTTTATCCGCGGCGTCAGCGGAGGCGAGAGGAAGCGTGTTACAATTGCTGAAGCGTCGTTGAGCTATTCTCCCTTGCAGTGCTGGGATAATAGCACCAGAGGGCTCGACAGCGCGAACGCAGTGGAATTCTGCCGAACTTTGAGGACGCAGGCTGATGTCATGGGTTGCACTTCGTGTGTCGCTATCTACCAAGCCCCTCAAGATGCCTATGACGTGAGGATATGGAGAGCAATTCCATTTCAGATCTATGCTAACATTCAAATAGCTCTTCGAAAAGGTTCTCGTCTTGTATAAAGGCCGGCAAATCTTTTTCGGGAAAGCCTCCAGAGCCCAGTCATACTTTGAGGAGCTCGGCTTCTTATGCCCGGAGCAACAGACCACCGCCGATTTCCTCACTTCCATGACCAGCCCCAGTGAACGCGTCATCCGCCCTGGCTGGGAGAATAAGACGCCTCGAAGCCCCGAAGACTTTGCCCGGGCGTGGAAGGAGAGTAGTGACCGCGCTCTGCTGCTGGAGGACATTGAGGATTATGTCGAACGACATCCTTTCCACGGCGAACACTACGACAGGTTCATGGAGTCACGGCGCATGGACCAGTCCTCGGCTCAACGCGCTAACTCTCCCTTCACCTTGTCCTATCTCCAGCAGATGACTCTAACCTTGTGGCGTAGTGGGGTCATGCTCAAGACGGACCCCAGCTTGACTATCACTATGCTAGTCACCAACTTCCTGCAGGCCATTATTGTCAGCAGCATTTTCTACAACCTGCCCGAAGCGACCTCGGCCTTCCAGAGCCGGGCTGTCCTGCTATTCTTCCTCATCCTCATGAACGCGTTCAGCAGCATCTTGGAGATTATTAACCTTTATGCCAAGCGTAAGATTGTCGAGAAGCATGCCAGGTGTGTCTCTGTCTTTTCTTTTCAAGTGCGAGTGGCGGTTCAGCGGATTCCTATATCTGACCTACATATCGTTGAACAACCCTCCATGCTAACACAGTTTCCTATCCAGATATGCCCTATATCACCCCAGCGCCGAAGCCCTCTCTTCAATGATTGTGGACCTGCCGTACAAGATCACCAACGCAATAATCACTAACATCACCATGTACTTCATGGGCAATCTCCGCCGCGAGCCAGGTGCATTCTTCTACTTCCTGCTCGTCATCTTTACAACAACCATGACCATGTCCATGCTTTTCCGACTGATCGGGTCAGTCACTAAGTCAATTGCCCAAGCCATGGCACCGTCCGCAATCATCCTCCTCGGCTTGATCCTCTACACCGGCTTCACCATCCCAGTACAGTACATGCGCAGCTGGATCAGCTGGTCTCGGTGGGCTAACCCAATATACTACGGTCTAGAGGCCATCGTGATCAACGAGTTCGCCGGGATGGATTTCCCATGCTCCGTCTTCATCCCCTCCGGCCCGGGCTATGAGGATGCCTCGCCGAGCGGCAGAGCATGCTCCGCGCAGGGAGCCGTCCCTGGACAAGATTCGGTCAGCGGTACGGCGTATATTAAGAGCGCTTACGGTTATGATCCGTCGCATAGATGGCGCAACTTTGGCGTCATGCTTGCGTTCATGGCCCTGTATGCCTCTTTACACCTGGTGGCCACTGAGTATGTCGCTTCTGAGCGCTCCAAGGGTGAGGTTCTGGTCTACCTTCGTAAGGCCATGAAGCACTTCAAGAAATCGCCGGGAGACATTGAGAGCGGTTCTGTGACCTCGACCAATCAGCAAACGTACAACGGCAACGTCTCAGGAGGAAAGGTCGAGAAGAACATATCAGTTTTCCACTGGAAGAATGTTTCCTACGACATCGAAATTAAGGGAAAGCCCCGCCGGATCCTGGACCATGTTGACGGTTGGGTCAAGCCAGGTACCCTGACTGCGCTGATGGTAAGCTTGCTCAATACAGTTGTGCATATTTTGATGCACTTTGACTGACAATACATCTAGGGCTCTTCTGGTGCTGGTAAGACTACCCTTCTCGACGTTCTTGCCAGCCGTGTGACCATGGGTGTGGTTACTGGCGAGATGCTCGTGAACGGATCACTCCGCGATGAATCCTTCCAAAGAAAGACCGGCTACGTTCAGCAACAGGATCTCCATCTGCACACATCAACTGTCCGCGAGGCTCTTACATTCAGTGCCCTCCTTCGACAACCATCTCAATACAGCCGCCAGGAAAAGCTTGATTACGTCGATACGGTCATTGACTTGCTTAGCATGGAAGATTATGCGGATGCTATCATCGGTGTCCCTGGTGAAGGCCTCAATGTTGAGCAGCGTAAGCGACTAACAATCGGTGTAGAGCTCGCTGCTCGGCCCCAGCTTCTTCTCTTCTTCGATGAGCCTACCTCGGGCTTGGACAGTCAGACCTCGTGGTCGATTTGCAATCTCATGGAGAAGCTGACCAAGAGCGGCCAAGCCATCCTTTGCACTATTCATCAGCCTTCTGCCATGCTATTTCAAAGATTCGACCGTCTTTTACTGCTATCAAAGGGCAAGACTATCTATTTTGGCGATATCGGAAAAGACTCCCACATCCTCGTCGACTACTTCACCCGCAATGGCGCCCATGGCCTTCCGACTGGTTCCAACCCGGCCGAGTACATGCTCGAGGTCATCGGCGCGGCTCCCGGCGCAATCACGGAAATCGACTGGCCGGATGTCTGGCAGAACAGTGCCGAATATCAGCTGGTTCAACAGGAGCTAGGAAAGCTTGCGTCTTCGGCGTCGTCCGAACAGCCAAGTACTGACACTCACGTATACGAGGAGTTTGCCGCGTCATCTCTGGAGCAGCACCGGCAAGTGACGAAGCGGGTCTTTGAGCAGTATTGGCGAAGCCCTGGGTACATTTATGCCAAGGCTCTCCTCGCAGTCGGCGTGGTAAGGACTCTACAGCCGCCATTTCCATCAGAGTCACGAATGCTAACGTTCAAAGTCGCTTTTCATCGGACTTTCATTCTTGAACGGTGACAACACACAGCGTGGCCTGACGAACCAGATGTTCGGTGTCTTCATCTTCCTCAGTATTTTCCCGCAACTGGTCAACCAGATCATGCCCGTTTTCGCACTGCAGCGTGTCATGTACGAAGCTCGCGAGCGTCCGTCCAAGACGTACTCCTGGAAGGCTTTTCTGACTGCCAACATCGTCGTTGAGCTTGCTTGGAATTCGGTGAGTGAGATTTTGTCTGCAGATGAGATGAACAAATCTAACCTGACGGCAGCTCATGTCGGTTTTCGCCTTCGTCTGCTGGTACTTCCCCATTGGTCTGTATAAGAATGCCGAATGGACTGATTCCGTCGACTCGCGCGGCATTACGATGTACCTGCATATCTGGATCTTTTTCGCTTTTGCTAGCACATTTTCGCACATGATGATTGCGGGACTCCCAAGTGCTGATATAGCTGGAGGTGCTATGAACCTCCTTCTCATCATGATGTTTACATTTTGCGGGTAAGTCACTGACACAACAATCCACACCATGAGTCTCAACTGACGCTGCGTGACAGTGTCCTTGCCGGCCCGAATGCTCTCCCGGGATTCTGGATCTTCATGTACCGCATCAATCCCTTCACATACATCATCGAAAGTTTCCTCGGCACCTCCCTTGGTAACGCCCCTATGTACTGCGCGTCCAATGAACTCGTACGCTTCAGCGCCCCCAACGGCTCAACGTGCGCTGAGTATGCCGCCGATTTTATTGCTCAAGCTGGGGGCTACCTCGACGACCCCGAGTCTTCTGACTGTGGCTATTGCGCCATGAGCGAGAGTAATACTTTCTTAGCCAGCGTCAGCGTCAGCTTTAACAACAGGTGGAGGGACTTTGGGTTTATGTGGGCTTTCTGCATTTTCAACGTTGGCATGGCTTTCGTATTCTACTGGCTGGCAAGGGTACCCAAGAACAAGAAGGTCAAGAAGGAGTAGGACAGAGTAGTGTCTGACTTCAGCGCGGAAGGCAAGGCTTGTCCTTTTGAGGATACAGACAGTGACGACACTGCAAAACAAAACAAGACCGTATCAGTCAACAGAGTTCATTTCATAGACGGAGGATTTTGATTAGACATTTATCGTAATTAGAGGTAGACAAATACCATGTTCGCATCCGAATGTGCACGAGACATTGAGTTCGCATCAATTTCTTCGCATCAACTTCTTCGCCCTCCCTGCTTTGACCATTCATTCATATATCCCCCGCTTCCTGCTCTTAGTTTCCGCGACTTAGGCATAATACTCGATATAGCATAAATACCATTATATCGGTGACAGAGAGCCTAATAGTAAACCTTATATAGCCTAGCTGCCTCGCGGAGGCTTAATTTAGCATCTGACTAATAGGCCTAAAGTGCAGGAAGTAGATTAGCCTTAGTATTAAATTGTAATATATTAGAAGGTTGAGAATTAATTAATTAGATAGTAAGATGTAAGATTGAATTTCAGATCAGGCGGAGACAATGTTTGGGCGGGCATTCAACTTTGTGGAAGCAAGGCATCGTACAGTAGCATAGGTTGGGACGGTCCAGGGTTGGTTTGACGAGGGGCACTTGGGGTAGAAACAGGAGGCTTGGGGTATCTAACACGTGAAGAGGGCTTATTTTGAGAGTGTCTACGGTGTAATTAGTTCTCGATCCGAACGTTCATTACAAGCTACGTCATTCTACGTCATTCTGACGTCAAGTACCCTGATAGCTACTCATTGAATTTGGTTATAACGGATGCTTAGAGTAATTAATCAGCAGTCACCAACTTAACACTGGTCACGGCAATAACCTCGGAGAGCATTGTGCAATATCTGTTATACTCAGAGAGGCGACAATCCTAACAAGGGATGACGCCAATACTACAGTACCCCATGCCTATTAACGTAAGCATAATCAGGCTCTCTGCGGGCGGTGGCTGGGCCTCGACGGCCGATCTTCCATACCTAGTCCACCAACAAATATTGCATCATGGCCGTCTGCAACTCATCCCTTGAATCCAGCGAAAAGGGTCTGGAAGCCTACGACCTGCGGGATGCAGAAGCCTTCGACTCTGTTGAGGCCATGTGCAAGTCTGACACAGTCTCGCTCGTGGTCTGCGCAGTAGCCGTCTTTTCACACTACGACCTCATCAGGTCCGCAATTGAGGCCGAAAAGACGTCTATGCTGAGTGGCCACTTTGTGGATCGACTACACAGGCAGAAGATCTCTCGAAACTGGCCCAGAAAAAAGGAATTCGCACAGTTATCGGCCTCCAGGCTGGCGTTTCCCCAGCTTACGTTGCTTTGGCCAAGGTTCTAGAGAGTGGACGCATCGGGCGGCCTTTGGCCACCCACATTTCTGGCAGCGCCTGCACGGAGGAAACAGGCAAGGATATTGTTAAGCGATATAAGTGCTTCAAGGACCGTGACACAGAGGGCGTTACAGGCCAAGTCATGCTCTCTATATACCTGGGCCATACTTTTCAGCCAGTCGTCCAGCTCTTGGGAGAGCCGACGACCTTGCGAACCCAGATGCGGACGACGTGGCCAAAGATCAACGTTATGGACCAAGACCAAGTTATTGAGTCGGACGTCACCAAGACTGCAGACGACTACGTCTCGCTTCAAGGAGAGACGGAATCAGGAGTAGCCTTTACTTACTGCTTCCGGGGTGGGGGCGCTTTTGACAAGGGAGAAGGCTTAGTTTAGGACATAATTGGCGAGAAAGGCGAATTGCATATAAATGGAAGTACGATTCTGCTGAACCTCGGTGCTGAGGACTTCCGACTTCGAGTCAAAGACTATGCGACGGATAAGATTGGGAAAACTCACTTGGGGCAGGACTCAGATCTTCCCCTCCCATCACAGAATGTCGGTCAAATCTACGAGAGGTTTGCTACTGGGGGCTATTACCCATCATTCAAGGAAGCAGTACATTTACATATGCTTTTGGATAAGATATATCTATTTGCTGCTTGAGGGGCTAGTATTATTTGGAGTAGGGTACGGCTAAATTTCAATGGAATCAATAGTTGGGGATAAAGATGCTAGAAAGTCTTCTAGAGGTACTATACGGCATTTTCTTAAAGCGTTATGTTCAATACTATTCGCGATACAGATCTCAATAGTGTCAAGCTTGCGTCAGCCAGTAACGTGCATAGACAGCTCTGCAGGTAGGGCTTTCTGGCTGATAAGAGCATAAAGTCCGACGACAATGCTGCTCCCAGAAACGTGGGGTAAGTTTTGAGTTACTGGGCTTCCCGTGGCCGCCCCAGCTATAGATCTTGATTGCAAAGCTATATGTGCCGGCCATCATAAAAATGACAGGCCAAAAGTCTGGAATCACCCCGCCCCACCAACAATATCAATTATTTCAACATATTACTTCACTTTGCAATTGAACAGCAATTAATTATCGGAATAGCTTCATTTATATATCAATTAATAGCCCTGAGTCCGTAGATTAATATTTTGTATACCATCCGCGCGCCCGCTTGCAAGCCCGAAGTCTGTTGGCAGCTGAAGTCGTCAGCTTCAAAATCAGTCGGTCAGGCAACGCCTCCCACGCTTCTTGGATCCATTTGATCAGCAATTTCCTGTGAGCTTTGCTTTTGCCTAGTCTAATAAATTTAGGATGAATTCTTCGTAATTTAGCCTTTAAAGCCTTCCATATATACTCAATGGGATTTAAATCAGGGGAATGTGCAGGCCATTTAATTGGAATAATGCCGTGTAAGAGCAGCCAGTCTTTCGAAGCTTTGGCGATGTGCACACGCGCGTTATCCTGTTGGAAATCGCCAAATTCATCAATAAAAGGAAGAAGACCTTCCGTCAGGGCTTTACGATAAGACCAGCTAGAATAACCTCCTTTTTCAGACGTAATATCTCTCATCATAGGGATAATATACGTCCTTTTCCTTCCAGAGATTCCTGCCCAGAACATAATCGATTGACGGGCTTTTCCGTGAGATTGAACATTAACTAGGTCCTTACGGTATTTCTCATCAGGCCGGCGAAAGACCCAGCCGTCAGGGTTGTTCGGGGCATTCTGTACAGTAACCTCATCACTGAAGCAAATCTATACGCCAAAGTCAGTAGGAATAGCTTCATTTTAAACCGACTTACACGTATGTAATCATCGAGATGATGGAGCCAAAACGTACAGTGTTCAAGCCGCTCTTTTGCGTCTTCTTCTGACAGTTCAATCCGTCTTTTGGACCGCCATTTGCGACGCCAATTGCTCTGTAAACGTCTCTTAAGAGTGCGAATAGAGACATCTAATTCCAGTTCATACAGAACGTCATTCCAGGTGATTTCGCGATGCCGATTAATATACGAACTAATCCTAATAAGCTGTAGAGGCGTGAGTTTCTTTGGACGCCCTTTTCGTGGCTGTGAGGCAAGGTTGTGGTGTTGTTCCCATCGTCTTTTGGTCTTCGAGATGGTCCCTTGGGTCGTTGAGAAGTTATCTGCAACTTCCCTCTGAGATTTGCCGGCATGTAGCTCTGCCATTATGGCTGCTCTTTGCTCTGAAGTAAATTCATGATTAAATTCGCGATTTCCGCTTATCTCAGTACCAAAAGACCGATTTCCTGAAGGCATTTTTCGTTATTTAATTGCTAATTAAAGAAGTCGTAATGGTTCTGTTACGCTGTGTTGAAAGCGGGGTAGGTTCGGGGTGATTCCAGACTTTTGGCACGTAATTGTATTAGCTGTGTCGGAAATATGAAGATATATCACCCCTGTAGCTTGTCGTAGGCGCCCGATTTCTGATCATAGCATATCTGCGCAGAGACAAAGTCCTGCACCTATAGTAGCCATGATGTCAAACAGATGCGGTCTTTTGAAGCTGTGCCCCATGGTCGAAGGACTGCCGCTACCATATAACCATTGTGAGAACGAGGTTGAGTACATCTACCAGCTCTAAAGGCATCTAATTAATGACCAGTGCATATTCCCACCAACCCTAACCTTCGGTGAACGTTGACGAAGTTTGGTTACGTGGAGGGATGTGGTTGGTGGTTGTGTGAAAGGACGTTGAATGCTTGGGCTTATTAACTGTCTTTCAAGTTCAAACTAGCTATTCCTTGTGTGGATTGCTATTGGCTGCAGAATGTGGTAGACAGCCATGTTCAAGGCGTCTTTACAGAGAACTTAATCTGCGAGTATTGAGACAGGTGAATGGCCAGTTGCATGTTGGTCGCAAGTCGGCTCTGGACAAGGCGCTCAACTTTTAACTCGAACTCGCGGGGTTTCTTGACTGAATCTTCAAAACGAATTTCAAACATCAGGTATATACGGGCCAAATTTCAACGAAACACACTATGTATCCCAGAGTCCTAAAGGAAAGATTGTTCTGAGAGTATTAACATCCAGTTTTTGAACTCCTGCCGACTATGCTCAGAGCGTTGTGGAAGATTAGATTATTGTTAGGGTGAGTACTGGCGGTTTTACTTGACTACTGAATTAGTTCTTGCAAATCACCTGAACTTTATGCAGGACGGCTCCGTGCAAGCTTGTCAGGTAACCAACTACAGCTATAAGACGGCGTAACTCAATTTGATAATCTCGCTAGTGGGCAACCAAATCAGCATCCTCCTCCCCAGCATGGCACCGCCATCTTGATTCTTCTATTGCTTTATGTTGTTTGAAACTTGTTTTGGAAGATCCTCCGAGAAGAAGTGGTTTATTCGAAATTGCCTTTCCATCCAGTCTATGTATTTCACTATTCTGTCCCTGGACCTGGATCTCAGGGTTTCAACCATGATGGCGTCGCACAGTCTGTTTAGTTTTCAACTTGGGACTTTCTGATTTTCAGCATAACCCTAAAATCCTTTGGTTTAACGAACCAATGATTCAGAGTTTTCCATGACGTGATACCATGCTGCATGTCCCCAGTTAACTCAAAGTCATAGTCCCGCAATATTCTTGGCATTAGTTTTGCTATTTCCAAATAGGAGACATGTCTTCCTATACAAGTTCGCGCACCCATGCCAAACTATACCGAACAAGGTTTGTTAAGATCAGTTCCGTAAGGAATTAAATTTAGACTTCGACTCACTGGTATCCAATGGCGATTCAAGAAAGCCACCTTGTTTTTGTCCTTGTCCAACCATCGTTCTGGTCGAAACTCAGTGGCATCCGGGCCAAAGATCTGCTCGTTATAGTGTTCCACCCAAGTGTTGACACCGACGACGGTCTGAATCAAAATTAATTAATTGTCCAACAGTTCCCTGAATAAATGGGAGATGAGTACTTACCCCTGCCGGAAAGAATTGATCACAGATGGTGGCACCACCCTCAGGCACGACCCTTTCCAGCGGCAGTCCTGTTGCAGGGTGCATTCTTAATGCCTCTTTGATGACGGCCTGTAAATACAGCATATCCTGAGTCTGCTTAAAGCTAAATGACTTTGACGAGTTATTGCGATCATGATGATCAATTTCTTGTCGGAGCTTTTTCATTGTCTGTGGATGTTTGAGCAAATAATATAGTGTAGCAGTTAAGGTGGCTCCGGTCGTGTCTGAGCCAGCTGCGATGTTCTGCATGCAACCTAACCAAGCGTAAAATTCGGTATATTTTGCTGGATCTTTATGATGGCGTGCCATGAGCTTAGTCATAAAGTTCGTCTTCTCCTCGTTCTCAACTCCGTCTGGCGACATGACTTTGGGTACTGCCTGGTGCTCGGCCATACATTGTGTTGTGAAATCGGAAATTGCTTGAAACTTTGAGAATTGTACTTGTGGCAGAACTCTTTGGAGGGCAAGCACGACTTTATAAAAGCTCAGGAAAATACCGATCAGACTGCTGAATACGACACTGTTGTCCAGAGTGAACATTATGTTGTCTATATCGCGACCAGCTTCGAGAAAACCCAATCGTTTCGAAAAGGTTATCATGGAAATGACATCGAAGGCGTAGCATTGGAACCAGTGGCCCATGTCCGTGGGTACACCAACCTTCTGTGTTGTGTCATCACTCGCCATCTCCCAAAGTCGCTGATCGAAGAGGTCGGCGCATTCATCGACGAACGCTTCGTAAGATACCATAGACGATAGAGAGTATACATTTTGGTATTGCCGTCTCTTCTGGGCATGGACTCGAATGTTTGACTCTGAGAAAAGGTCCCTCGGAATGAGAGGGTTGCCAAATGCGCTATACCACGGTGACTTGGCGAATTTAGCTCCAGAATTAATGCTGTAAATCCCTTGGGTCGCATCCACATGGCACAAGCTGTATCGATTCGGACCCAGACGCACGATAGGGCCGAATCTTTGATGAAGAGCGATGTTAACCTTTTCAAAGTTGCCGCCCTTGACTTGCAAGAAGTACCAAATATCTGAAAAGCGGGACACAAAAGGCCCAGGGATCCTCCGCAAGGGCGAAGCGATAGCGCGATAAAGACACAGTACAACAGATGCCCCTAGAAACACAGCAAGGCCAGATAAAAGAGCACTTTCAATATGATAAAGAGACATACTACCCAAGGTTGCGATTTTGAAGGCGAGCAGAAAATAAACAACTTGTAATGATGGAAAGTAAGATTTGGTTGTCAATGTTTCCTCACTCATGACAGCCGGACGTCCGATTTATATAGCAAGTATTCTTGGGATTCAAATGCTTCGACTCGGCTCCACAAATACATCGTATATTAGGCCAGTGCCAGCCCCCGACCCCAGGCTTTACGGCATGAGATGAGAGCTTTTGTA